TTGACAAATTTTTAGCCAAATGTACAAATCGTGTGATCCCAGCTTAACTACGGAGCACTACCCGGTGCCCTTGTCAACGCCGATACAGCAATTTGCAATAGGAAACGTGGCTACCTCCGCAACTGGCATACCGTATAATCAACCAAAAGCTTTCCCATCGGTGCCGCATGCAGGTGCACGAAATTCTCAAGGTATTAAGATGGTCAAAAGTAAATTGTTTTTGCCATCCATGGTGCCCGAAATCATAAAAACTCTTAGAATGTGTTTTGGGAGATCTGAACACATCCTTGAACGCGCCATGGATAAAGCTCGTGCTATGCCAGCGCTCAAGGATAAATTGGAAGGTCTTATTGAGTTTGCACTCTGCGTCAGGAACATTTGCGCCACGGTGGAAGGATGCCAAATGCACATCCACCTGCATAATCCGCGGCTTGTTAAGGAGTTGGTTGACAAGCTCCCCAATGGCAAGAAGTTGAACTGGGCAGTTCACCCGACAGACGATAAGATTCCGGTAGTGAAACAGTTCAGCGACTGGTTGTACAATCTAGCCGAAGCAGCCAGTACTGTGGTCTCGTTGGCACCGTCCAAAAGTAATGCTACGGTTAACACGCACACCATCGACGCAAACACTCAGCATCCGCCAGCAACTCCAATGGGCAGGCAGTTTATAATTTGCAAAGGCTCCGATCACAAGGTAATGCAATGCGACGTTTTTAAAAATATGACTCTCCAGCGAAAATGGGAGGAGGTAAAGACAAACAACCTCTGCCGCCAATGCTTCAATCCACATAAGCGCAAATGTTTTCTGAACAAGGTGTGTGGTGTAGATGGCTGCACGGTAAAACACCATCAGTTACTGCTCAAAACAACCGCAGTAACGAATCAAAAGAAACCCAACACCGTAAGTACAAATGCAAACAAGCTTTCAGATACGCACAGTAGCGGTCACGAAGGATTGCAATCACTCTTCAGAATCGTTCCTATTCGCATTTATTCAAACAATAAATTACTGGAAATATTTGCATTTTTAGATGAAGTCTCTTCTGTGACGCTAATAGAAAAGAGAATCCTCGATGAACTTGGCTTGGAAGGTGAACGAGACCCTCTTTGTTTGCGGTGGACAGGCAACACAACGCGGATTGAAGAAAATTCTGTCAGGGCTGCCATCGAAATTTCGAGTGCGACAAGTGGCCAGAAGTATATTTTGAAAAATATTCATACTGTCGATGATCTCGATCTCCCAGCGCAGTCAATCAACGCATCCGAGATGGAGCGCCTATATCCATATTTAGCGGGATTGCCGATTGCGTCGTACGAAAACGTGAAGCCATCATTGTTGATCGGTGCGGACAATTGGAGGTTGGCATTTCCTCTCAAAATTAGAGAGGGAACCTGGTTCCAGCCCATAGCGTCAAAGACTCGTTTAGGTTGGACGTTACAAGGGTGTGATTCGAGACAAACTGGCGACTAAGCGTACATACATGCGATTGCCAAAAAAGATACGATGAGCTTCACGAAACCGTAAAGGAATTATTCGCGTTAGAGTCGTCTAAACGTACACAGCTACTATCGGAAGAAGATGCAAGGCCGTGAGCATTGCGAACGACACATGTTAAAAGGTCGGTCACCACTTCGAAATTGGGCTGCATTGGCGTAACCCAACTGTATCGCTACCAAATAGCTATGCCTATGCTTTGCAACGACTGATGTGTTTGAATAAAAAGTTTGTTAAGGACCCTATGTTAAAATCTAACCTTCAAGTTCAGATCAATAATCTACTTTTCAAAGGGTACGCTAAAAAGCTCTCCCGAGTTGAGGCTGCTGTTCCCAATGACAAAACGTGCTATTTGCCTATTTTCATCGTAACTAATCCAAATAAGCCTGGAAATCTTCGGATGGTGTGGGATGCTGCTGCCAAGGTGAACGGGGTGTCGCTCAATGACTTACTGCTGAGTGGCTCAGACTTGCTTAACCCTCTTGTTGGTATTTTATTAGCTTTCAGAGTAGCCAGAGTAGCTATATGCGGTGATATAGCGGAGATGTTTCACCGCATCAATATCCGGGACACCGACATGCATGCTCAGCTATTTTTGGGGTGCGATAAAGATGATGATCCCCAGCATCCAAGTATTTATGTCATGCAAGCGTTGACTTTCGGATTGAATTGCGCACCATTTATCGCTCACTACATACGTGACAAAAATGCTGATCGTTTTAAAAACGAGCTTCCTCGCGCCGTAGAACCTGTGAAGGAAAACCACTGCGTGGATGACTTTATTGACTGTGGAGGCGATGAACAATCTGCACTAGAGCTAGCTCTACAAATCAAAAAAATTCACGGCGCTGCTGGCTTCGACATACGTGGCTGGTCTTCAAATTCCCAATAGGTCGTGGATCTGCTCGAAGAAGATCCTACGTCAGTTCAATCTGTCAAGGAATGGGACTCAACCACGAAAGTGCTAGGTATGTTTTGGGACCCAATAAGCGATAATTTTAAATATATTTGTAGATTTGCAAGACTCCGTCGTGGCGTCATTAATGAATCGATCATCTCGACGAAAAGAGAGGCGCTCCAAGTTCTAATGTCGATCTTCGACCCTCTTGGATTTGTTTGTTGCTACACGGTGGGGTTAAAGATCTTGCTACGAATCGTATGGCGCTCTGGTGTCGTCTGCGCGACAACCTTTCCGACAAATGGAGCCAATGGAAGTCCATTATGCCATTAATAACAACCGTCGAAATACCTCGATGTTATTCACTATTGCTGAAAGACGCCGAAGATGTTCAACTTCACACCTTTGTCGATGCCGGGGAAAGCGAGTACGCAGCCGCTTGCTACTTGCGTGTGACGTCACGGTTACTCTCGTGGCTGGCAAATCCAAAGTCGCACCGCTAAAGCAATTATCGATACCCAGACTAGAGTTGCAGGCGGCGGTAGTTGGTGTAAGGCTGGCGAACATGGTAAGCAACACGCTGCGTATTGGCATAAAGTCCAAATTTTGGTGGACGGATTCAAAGACGGCGCTAAGATGGATTCAAATGAACCCTAAAAACTTTCACCAATTCGTTATGCATAGAATAGGCGAAATTCTAGAAGCATCAAACGTGAGCCAATGGCGGTGGGTTAATAATAATAATAATAATAATAATAATAATAGATTGGCGCTTACACATATGTTAGTGTTTGGCCGAGCTTCTCCTCCGA